ATTAGTTCAGAAATCGGCTGAACAAAATGAATTTATTCTGTTATGCAAACATTATTCAAACAGCGTTGCTTATATTAGTTAAATAAATTAAAATGAGAATTTTTGAAAAAAAAATGTCGAAAATACTGACATTTTTTCACGAACATCATCCAAATGTGAACATTTTTGATCATCATTAGATATGAATTCAATGATCCAAACCTATCATGTTCATCATGTTACCTCAAGGTCTTTATCCCGATGGCTCACGAGATCATGATCGCCTAACGGTGAATTTGAAACTTAAGTAATGTAGCTGTGGTTTTTAACAGTTATGCACATGACGTCAGTTTATAATAAAACTAGGTTTTGAAGTATTATTATAGGTAAATACATTAATTTTATTTTTAAGGGGGTGATGATGAAGTAAGTACTGATCACAAGTACAAAAACAGTAGAATAATTATTAACAAATAACTTTGAAAGTATCATTACCAGGGTTTGACTTGATAATCTCAGATTAATTGAGGATTGGGTAGATTGTTAATAAAAAATATGTCTTATTGTTCTTACGAGTATGAAAATATTCTTACAGATATTTATAAGTATTTGTCTACGCAAGATACTCCATATCCGTTAGCCAAGCACCATCAGCAATAACCTGTTGTGGAAGAGAACAAAACAGCTGCCAGCCAAAAAGTAAATCAAAAAAGACACTAGAGATGAATAGGACAAACTTTTCGAAAATCATTCAACCGCAGTACAGGGCAAGCCCCAACTCAGAATCCTAAATACAAAAAGAAAAGATTCAGACCAAAGAATACATGGCTCCAGAAACCGGAGATAGACATCAAGAGCAAGAATAGCCACTTAGCAACAACTAAAAAGGAGAACCCAGAACAAAGTAGTCTGGGGAATCCTGGTCTGCAGCACATGCTCCACAAGGGGTATTGAATAAGAAAATCAAATTTTCTATCAATTGAGAACTTACAAGTATATTATTTTCATGACTAATTAGTAACGAAGTTTAAGCGTCAGAACCAATCTGGTTCAGAAAATTCCAAAAGCTATAATAGCGTTTCAGTCTCTCCTACCATTTGATGAGTCCTCACGTGACTCAATAACCAATGTGATATTTTTTACCATTATAAAACCTGTGTTCAGCAACAACAAGGGGGATAGAGACCTGTAGTTAATTTGATTCCTTGTCACTGTGTTACTCCAGTAGGACGATTTACAGTGTATTTTAGTCAGTTCTATCATAAGCGACTGATCATGCACGCAGAACTATCAAAGGCGATGTAGATGATGGGTTGCGGTTTAGTAGGAAGGATGCAGTCGACCGATGATCACGCTTGAGTGTTACTCATAATCTTTTATGGTTTAAACGACGTAGATTTCTTTACAATATTCTATTTTGTGAGGACAATCAATAACTATGATGCAGATCGAACCATAAATAAGTAGTATATAAAAATGTAAGATACGCACTGATTTAATGAAATTTCTCAACAATAGTGTTGACATCCTGTTCCATATTATATGCACAATATGAATGGGAATAGTGAACCACTTACTATTATATTATGAAATCATGTATCAGTGACTAACAATAATCTAAAAAAGAACGTTTAACCCTAGTAACAAATAAGTACAGCTGTGAACTTCTTGTTATATCAATGTAAATTTCTTCAAATAATACAAAACATTTAAATATTTGTCTTTCTTTGCATTTATATTTAAACACAACAGCTGTTTACAATAATAATCCTTTTTTAAAAGTAAATGTATGTAAGATAAAGCTGGTATTATCTGTCAAACTGTAAATGTACTAATAATACTAATATCATACCAGTACTAATATATAATATTATCAACAGACCTTACATTAATTAGTATTACATATATGAATAGTGAATCTAAAACAAACTATTCATGACAAAATAGTTATGTACACTATTGTTAATAAAAGCAAATTATGTAATAAGCTCATATCTTTAATAGATAAACATCTATATATTTCTTGTTTCTTTAAGAATATTATTTGTAATTTATTTTTCCTAGGTAGTTATGGTTCTATGCTGGGGTTATTTATCCTTTTAATATTGTTAATTTTCTGAATAAGATAATCCCAGCAAGAAATTAAACAGGGCAGAATGTAAATGTAAAATTATTACAATTATGATGAATAAAAATCGTGAAAATGATTATATACTTGATATGTTTATATGTAAGCACATGGTAACATGCACATACACAAAAATACAGTTCTCAATGGGGAAAATATATGCTAATAAAGAATTTGTTGAATTGATTATTTCATATATTTTGTACCATGACGTAATATTTGTCACCATCTTGGTATAAATTAACTCTTTTCAGAAATATGACGAGAATAAGTTAAAGAAGTACTAGACAGTTATTTTATTTATGTTGTGAAACTTTAGAGAAATAAAGACATTTAGATTTTGCAACTCACAAGATAGTGGTTAAAATAGCAAAATGGAATTTATTGTGGAAGACACTATCCTACTCCTAGTTTCTTATTAAGAATCTCATTGGATTACCGAATAATTGTACATCAACCATTTAAAAATCAATATAGAAAACTACTTTTGCCGTAGTAGCTTTAAATTGCTCCATTCAAAAAGAAAAACAATCTTTATTATAAGTCTATGTCAGGTGAAAAAGATTTAACAGAATTAGAAACTGTTTATGCCGGTTAGTATTTTATAGGGAATATGTCAAAGACAAATATCACATGGAAAAAAAAATCTTGAACTTTAAAGCAAACGACAGAAGTTTGTTCTACTTTTGGAATAAAATATAAACAGTAAAATGATTCAATTGTTTAGAAATTTTTGACTTTCTATGTTTCCTTAATTTGCTTTTGTTTTAAAGACCAAACAGAATATACTACTGAGAAGTCCCACAACAGGACGAAATGGCCGTTCAGTGCTTCCAATTTTTCCATGATGGTCTAGCATCAATTGACTCACAAACTTAACTATTGAAATTACCATAACATCCACAAAACCGCCCTTTCAGAATGTTTTGATTGGGTCAGTATGATGCAGTAAACTTGTTTTAAAATAACAAGAGTAAACTTTATTTACTTGAAAGTGAAAATATCTTTTCTTTAAAATAAACCTACTTTCATAAGGCATTCAAACTTCTTACAGTGTTTATGAATATACATAGAAATAATACACATGGTAACTCTGTTAATTATGTGAATATACATTCAAAACAATGTTAAGTCTCATTTAGACATTTGCAAAATCTATAAAAAATTGAGTAGTCAAGAGATTGGAATTCATGTATTTATTGACTAAACGAAAATACAATAAACTTCGACCAATCATTTATCTTATTTTGTCAATCTCTCCGTTAGATACATAACTAACTTGTCTCTTGGTTATTAATATTCAGTCTAGAAATATAGTTCAATAATATTCTATAGACAAAATTGATATCTCTCAAATAATTCAAACTAATACAGTAAACAAAAGAAACCTGATGAGTCATTTGAAAAAAAAAATGAAAAAAAAGGACAGTTTAGCGAAGAAAAAATTTTTCGGACGAAATCATTCACAATCATAAATATATTTCCCAGGTTGAAATCATGAGTGGATTGAAGCTAGACCACCATGGATAAGGTGGTCTAGCTTCAATCCACTCATGATTTCAACCTATGAAATTTGTATAAACTCTCCACAAAACCCATTCTGATAATAATCAACTGCTCACTAGTGACTGACTTCAGGAGATACTTCAGGAGTTCTAGTGAGAAGCCGTTACCAGTGGAGTTCAACCAGGTCTGTTGTGAGATATCAACTCACTGAAGACAATGGTGTACGGTGGCGCAACTTCGTGGATTGTCTGAAGTTAGACATTAACACCGTTGGATGCCGGCTCAGTGGTCTAATGGTTAAGTGCTCACGCGCGAAACCAGTAGGTCCTGGGTTCGGATCCAGCTGGGTGCGGGATCGTGGACGCGCACTGTTGAGGAGTCCCATACTAGGATGAAGTGGGCTCATGAATTCAACTATTAAAATTACTACAATCTCTACAAATCCTCATTCTAATGATTTTTAAATACTTGAAAACAGTTTTAATCAGATAATATTTTCCACTTTTTCATTGAGGCATTTTACATCAATTAAGACGTGAAAAAAAACACATCTAAACTTAATTACTGAGTTCTGAACCGGGATTTAACTCAGATCGTATGTGTGTTTACGGGCTACACATATTAGGTTGATTGAAATAAATAGAAGTCAAATTTGAGACTAAATAGTTGGTAATCTGGTATTTTCGATACTAAGTTACTGTTACACTGGTTACATTTATCTTCCCCCAATTATATTATCATTTTCTTTCAAGCAGGAAAGCTATTATTGTAAAGCAGTGACATTTTGTTCTATGAACTCATTTGCAACAGTTTAAACAGTTAAACTGTTTTCTGATGAATAGTTTAAATATACATAGTTGCAGATAGACAAAATGTGAATCGAGCGACAGTTGCTTTGTTACTGTTGTATTTAATTCATTGTCCCATTAATATGTTTAATATGATCAACTTTGTACTGTAGATTTTAGTTATTGCAAGAAAAAAAGATACTTTGGATATAAAGCCTGTGATTTAATCGAAATACACCATATTTAACAATCAGATCATTCGCTTAATGGTCATTTTAAGCAAAAACGAAGAATTATCAAATAGCGATAAGAGAATTTATATCAAAAAGCATAAAGTTCATTCTGATAACATTTTTAGCGAGTGAAAATGAGACTAAAAATTACCAGGGTAGGTTCAAAGTCAGAACATTTTAAGAGAGCATAATTATTTGTGTTTCAACTTGAAAAAAAACTGATAATAGTGTTTCTATGAAAAGAACAGTGTGCTTATTTTAAGACTAATCCTACAACATGTTCCTATTATATATTTGGATGAAATGCCAACTCCTTTTGTAATACATCAAACAAATAAATACAGTGATGAGAATAACTAGACCTACCTCATTTCACTTTTAATATCATTCAATGGTTTTGAACTAGGGATGTTAGAATATTTATTTCTCCGATTGTTCGTTTCCTTATTATCTTCTAAATCCCATATTTGTAATGGATCATCAGATAATGCCATGCCTTTTGACAACATCATCTGAGATTCGTGTTCATCCAACGCTATATCCCCATAGTATGCAGCTATAAGTGAAAAAAATGTATACAAAAGACTAAACTAAGCAGTAAATGAATACGAAAGTGAAGAGTAGTTCAAAATAAATACAGTACATGTTTAGTGTGCTACACATAAATTGGAAGGCTATCAAACTTACCAAAGAACATAACTCTGTAAACGGTGACTTTGACTGATATCAAACGAATTAATATAATCATATAGTACACAATAAACCTCTATAATTAGGTTGACTATATGTAAGTGATCGCACTATTAAGTACTTCTGTAGTAAGATTCTTATTAACATGAATATTTCTGAAAAAATTGATATAGTGCAATAAACATTTTCTCTGTTATCATTTTCAACGAAATATGCCATCAAACAGAAAATTTGATCCATATTATACTCTTCAAGATAATAGATTAATCGTAAAAGTTTGCTGTTGCTTCATTAAATTAATCTTAATGATCGAGTTTGAAAAAAAATGATAATACTGATACGGGTGGATATTTAACAGCGGTTAAACTATTACTATTGAGATTATTTCCAGAAATATCATCATAAAGTCAATGATAGAACTGTATTGAATATCCTTTGTGAATCAATCTCATTTAGAATACCATCGAAATCCAGGGGGCACTGGACAAATGTTTGGAGGAGCAAATATCATGGAAAGTGCAACTCTTGGAATTCTTGGAATGTCATTTGTACAAGCTAATGAATGCCTGGTTGGGTGGGTGAAATATAATAGTAAACGTTTGGCTGCAGTCTTTTCTTTTGAACTCAAGGCTGTGAAAAGAGATAATATGTAATGACGGACCAATAGGAGGTTCATTGCATCATATCATTGGTCAAGTCTACGGATGATTAATTATGGACAGAATAACAGACAAGAAGTTGTAAAGTTATAATGGAAATCCTGAATGGCGAACCTAGCAAGTGGTGTAAATCAAATCGCTCAGGCTTAACAGTAATCGAAATAATGTTCAGAATACCTGGGTATTGAGGTAAATGTTTAAACATTAAAACCGAATTGGCGTAAAATTGAACAATTCTAAGTTCAATCGATTTTCGATATAACTCGACGACCATTTAATACAACTGTTGACAATTATTTCATTATCAATAAGTGTGAGCTGATCAAATAATTGTCATTTTGTGACATTGCATATCAATGTTCTCTTAAAGGTAGTGTTTGGAGATACAACTTTCAACAACCTCTTTTCACTTTACATGTATATAACTTTGAGATTTTGTAACCTTAAAAGATATTTGAATGGTTTAATAAGAAAATGATTCCTTTTTACTACATGGATAATTTTAAAACATGTAATAATATCTGACGTGTCTGTGTATTTGTAACTGAACATAAGATAGAATTATAATGATTATAAGGAAGAAGAATTACATTATTATCTATCTATAATATGAATTATAGTGTTTGATTTTAAAAAGTCTGCCAAATACTTACAAGACGTTTCTCAATCCAAGTCATTTAAAACACTTGCTAACAATGTAAAATAATGAAGAATCTGTAACTTCTACCCGCAGAGAAATTTAATTTATACTTATGTTTCTATTAAAACAACTTCATGTCCTTCAAATAAGTGTTTTTCATGAAGAAGGAAAACCATTTACTACGTTACAGTTTTTCTTAAATATAATTATAATTACACTTCAAGGCTTTGATACTTTATCTTGGTATAAATGAACAGCAAACACTAGGCGCGTATTAAAAAATAATCGAACAAGTGGTGTATTACCGATAGGATTTTCGAATAGTGAGTAAGAAATCGGTTCTCTGTATGACTGCTTATATTACTAAAGAAACTATGTGTATAGTCTAGCTTGACCTATCGGTTACTAAATTCACGTAAAGTCATACCAGACAAACTAACCAATGTCTAAAAAATACCTGCACACGTTAGGTCTTTCAACTGCCTAGTTTTAATTTTTCTTATCGGTTATTAAATTAATGAACGGTTATTTACCAAGTACACAGAATATTCTGCTGTTCATGCTTTATAAACGTAAATCTAAAATAGGTCCATTACAAATACTAAACTAGAACCCTCATATACTCATTAATAACTATTTGATGTAATCTAAATTTCCTCCAGTGGAATTTCAGTTAACAAAATATCTATTCTGCATAGGAATCATTGCTAATCTATTAAGGCAGTTACGATTGTTGCTGGTATTCCAGTACTTGGGTAATACACGATTAATGTCACCTTACTTACTAAATGAAGTAAAAACTTGCTCTTGAGAGTAATTACAATGAAACAAATTTACATTTAATCTTCCAATGAAGATAACAATCACGGCCATAATGATAACTGAATAATATTTTTCAGGTGATTCGCTTTACTTCTTAGATGATGTACAAAATATACTTCATAATTTCCCACCCCCTCCCTATGTTATCAATTACAAAAATTATTATGATCGTCGTGCTATCAGCGAATTGGCCATTCTTAGTATGGTTAATCACTTTCATAGATGCTTATGGATGATATGTTTTAAAAGTCATTCATAATTGAAAACATTATCTACAACCCATTTAGCTGTATCCTACAATACTAATATTTTCACCAAATTACTGTAGCTCTAAATAACAGAAAGGCTCATCCATCAGTCTACTGAATTATCATAGCTACATTTTACGCCAAAGCTTACTGAGAACACAGAATATCCAGGCAATAAAATTATTAATTTACTACGTGAAAGTGTTACAACTTCCCAAATAACTTGCAAGTAAGTAAAGTATAAGTACTAGATAAAACTCTATTCTTGGCAGACATAAGGAACCTCTGATAAAACTGTGTTTAAGTAAATTCATTACGTTATTTGTATACCCGTTTATATACAATATTAACAATGTCCATATCAAACACTAATAGGTGATGTTCCCTTTGGTAATGATTTTTAAACACATATTTCCATTGTATCTACGAATAATTTATTCATAGCGTAAGTTCCTTATAATTCATTGTTTCAATGCTGAACATATCTGAAAATTAGGGAAGCGCTGTTAATAAATAACATTTCATTAAACACTTCGAGATTTAGTTGTGTTTACGATATTAAGCATTTAGTTGGTTAAAGCATTTTTTGTTATTGTTATTATTCATAACTTTATACATTTACATCTACATCAACCACCTCCTTGTATAGTTGCACCAGAGATATTATCTAAACTGACAAAAAACTTTACTACGAAATCTCGAATTAAGGAAGATTAAGTATTCAAAAATGTCCATATATATTTCCGATTGCTTTATGTTATAGAATAATTGAAGCATGAATTCATTCATTTTCACATGTAATTGATAACTAAGAGTATAACTATGATATAATCAACTTATTCTTTCCTGTCAACACAGTAGTGAATTTTCATCCCAACAATTAGTCACTCTTTGGATAAAGACTAAATTGAAAGTGCAAATGATTAAAATTTCAAATAACAAATTTCTCAATACAGAAACTTAAAAATGTAAATGAATCCTTCTGTTCTTCCTTCATCTAACCGATCAATAATAATTTATGAATCGTGCAATCAAAAATCTTCTAGTGCGTATTACATAAGGCATCGTTTTTAAGATTATGTAACCATTTAAGAGTGTGTGTGTGTGTGCTTGTGTTTCTTTTATTGACTTCAATCAAACGTGATGTAATGAAATTCTGAAAATTTCAAGATTGTAAAGCAAAAGCATTCTTCACTATCTCCCCTAAATGGTCAACATGATGTGACAAAATAATTTCTTACATACGTTCTGTTATGATATAGATTATCATATTTCGTCAACATTTCATCGATTATTCTATTTGTTATAATTTTTATCGAATTTCAGAAAGTACTAAATTTTTTTATGTTTTCGTTAAGATGGCTCCGAAAAGCACGGCGAAGCCTTCAAAAGCTCTAAAGGAGTCTAAGAGACTGTCTAATCAGGACCTGATAGAACGCTCTAGAAAGTTAATGTAACATGTTATGATTGAACATTTGCATAACTTTCCTCCTTGCGGATTGGTTGGATTATAATAATATTATAGACAAGACTAAAAATCACAAATACCCCCGTTTTTCTATGCATTTCCGATTCTTACCCAATAATCGTTTCCCCTGCCTCTTCCGTGTTTTGATATGCGACTTTGGAGCCTATATGTTCGAGTGCCGTTAGTTGTATACTGTATTGTGTCATAATCAAGTAGAGGACGTAACAGTTTAGCAAGCAAGAAAACTGATGGTAACTTCATTTCCCTCTTTACTGTTATTCAACTAATTAACAATTTTTAATGGCAGTACCTTTTAAAATTCAATCAATTTCTAACTTAATACTAAACGAAAACACAAATAACTCTTGTGTTTATGGAATATTTTAATATGACATTGTAATATTATCGAATAAAAACTAAAAATGAAGTGACCTTCTGAAAGACTAGAATGCAAGATCTAACTGGTATCGTCTAATTGTTAGAGCTCATAAACTTCTACCAATCAACTTGTAACCAAACCACTAATCTAAATTTTAATTAGGCTAGTTAATTGCAAATTACTAGGTTTTCTAACAGCTTTATCCACCTGTTAATTCATAAAGAAATATTGGTGACATATATTTAACATTTTATTAACTCATTTGACTTTTAATTATTGAATTCATGAGTTAATTGAAGCTAGACCACCATGGAAAACCTGGAAGCACTGGATGGCCGTTTCTTCCTATTGTAGATTTCTTCAGCAGTGCGTATCCACGATCCCGCCCCTCTGGATTCGAACCCAAAACCTATTGGTCTTGCGCGTGAACGCTTAACCTCTAGACCACTGAGCCGGTATCCAACGGTGTTAATGTTGTTGTTGATAATAAAATGTTTTGTCAATGTCTGGTTATTTCAACCTATTTCATGTCTGATGTAACAATCAACATATAGATAAATAATTCTTATTGAATGACAAAAGGTTAACAAATTGAATTTGTTTTTCTGTCTGTAATATTTTACATATTATAGAACATAAATTTATTTCGT